GTATCTTTTGGCATATATCAGGGGCCGACTGAGCTGCAAAGGCTAAATTGAGAGTACAGGCATGCTCAGGTGCTTCTGGATCATCTGGGGTGTACATACGGTAGGCTTGCTGTCGGAATTTCCTATAGCAGAAATCGCAAAAGTGATTTCGTTCAGCCCACATACCAAGCAGGATCACAAAGTTAACATAATGCGACGCTATTGCAGTAATTACGACAGCATGGAGCAGTTGCTCAGACTCGGCCTTCTGGTGAGCTTCCCAGTAAGCCACTGCCAGCGGCAGAAGAGGCAGCAGGAGGACGGCTAAAACTCCCCCAGCCCACGCCACTGATTCCACCATAATCTCAGAATGCAAGCGCATGGAAAAAAAAGCGGGCGCATCAGAACAAACCAAAAAACAAACAGTACAAACAAACAAAGATGACACAAAATCCCAGGAAAGATAATTTAGTTAATATTCCTCCGACTTATTTTTGCCAATGCAGAGTAGAGACTGGCTTGAAACACAACAAACAAAAAGCCGAATTCTTTCTCAGCATTCTCCAGAAAGACTAACATTCCCCTCACTCAACTCCCATTGGGAGGGTGAAGACTGCACTGCTCCTGCAGCACGCTGCCGCAGGCCCCTCTCCTGGCTCCTGGAGAGGGCAGAAACCAAACTGCCACCCATGTCTGGGTGCTACAAGTTAAGAGACCCACATCTCCAAAAATACAAGCCCAGTCTCTACAAAAAGCCAATTAAAATCTTACCTAGTCAGAGGTGTGGAACTCTGCTTTGTTCTTCGTGGCCTGAGACCTGCGGTCCTTAGCCTCTCTTGAATGGAAGCTGAAATCAGCTGTGGCGCCAAGCCATTCAAGAAGGGCTAGAGGGTCTGGAGGCTGGGGCCCTTCTCTAAGCGGGGGTCTGCCTGTGGAATCTCACGCCCATCACGAATCCAAGGAGAATCATCATAGATGATATCTAACCATATGGAGACGTAGACAATTTGGTCTGGGTGAGAAGGAGGGCCAAACACATAGCGGCGCACAGCCTGAGCCACGTCCGGTGCGAACGAGCCGGATGGGGGCCGAGTTCCCCCGTCCCTATAGGCCACACAGATGGGTCGAGACAAAGTGAAAGTGCCAAGTGCAAGTGTCAAGCAGAAACACACAAACAAAAAAGCTATCAGTAGTGACACAAAACGTCTCCAAGACACACAGAACAAAAAGTATACAGATTCTACTGGCTTAATATCAAGTTTCCGAACCTCAGGTAAAAAAATTACCCGTTCAGAATCAACCAGATAGGACACATCCAGGCGTCCCCGGAGGTCCTGACACTCTGAGGCGTCCCCCAGAGTCGTGGCTTGCAACCCCTGGACACGTCTGTCGGTTGCAGCCGAAGAGAGCTCATGCGTCTCGTCGGCAGCCACAGCCAGCTTCAAATACCCTAGGTGATCACTCTCCAAAGAAACAAAGGCCAAAAGAAACAAAGGCCAAAGGCCGTACTTACCCCAAGAGAAGACTGTTGGGGTCTCCCTCACGGAGAGAGATATCTCAGTGGAGAGATATCTCGGTGGAACCTCCAAGTGTAAGGGTCGAGAATCTCGCCACGTGAAGGAAGACTCCAAGAGATGCTCTCTCATGCAATAAGCAAGGGGAGTTTATTTACCAGGCATGCGTGGGGCTCACTGAACGCGCAGGAACAGAGAGCCCCGAGCCAGAGTCCAGCTGGACTTTTAAACCAAAAAACCACAGAAGGCGGGTATTTGCAAGCGAAACCACAGAAGCAGATAGCATTGGTTAGTTTAAACTGACCTTTACTTTTTTTTTTTTTTGGTTTTTCTCTGGTACCGGGAACCGAACTCACGGCCTTGCGCCTGCCAGGCAAGCGCTTTGCCGCTGAGCTAAATCCCCAGCCCCTTAAACTGACCTTTACAATCATTGGTGGGGGATTGGTGGGGAGATACAAGAATGAGGAAGTTTAGATTAAGGGCAGGGGAGTTATTCTGAGTAAACAGCAGATGTTCTTTTGTGGCTTTTCCGAGAACAGGATGGGAGTTCATTTCCTGAAACCCTTAGCACCTTCTGGGCAGTCTCATGCTGCTTATCTATAGCCAGATGGCAGCTGGCTCCCATAAAATTTTTCCTTTACACCTTCTGCTAAAGCACCACAACCTATCATTTACCCCTTTCCCATTTGCTGCTGCTGTTTCTCACTTTAGGAAATATTTCTTGAACAAAATCCAAGAATTAACTCAGCTATGGCAAAAAATGAAAGATTGGGAGAGCAGCCACCTCTTTTCTTGTCCTGCATGTCAAAAACTCGGTAAGGACCTTTGAGGAGCTACTAAGCAACAATAACACGGACCATTACATGGAACAGCACTTCTGGGAGCAACTGGCCAAGAGCAGCCAGCTGACAGAGAGCCTTGCCAGCAAACTCAGTATTGGTAAGCTAGCCACAGAAGCTGAGAACCTTTCATCCCTCCTAAGGTACTGGACCCACACAAGCACACACCCATCCACAAATGATTGTCAACCTGTGCCTGCTTTGTAATTACCACCTGGAGCTGTGATAGAATCATGACTGGCTAGTAAGAAGTTCCAAGGAGAAACATGGGGTTAGGGATGCTGTGAAGATTAAATGCACTTCCATCCTTTATGGAAAGTGGCCTCTCAGGCACAAAGTATCTTTGGGGATGATGGTATTTATCTGAAATTAGTTGATAGAAAGGGAAAAGGGACACAAGAAGCTGAATATTGTGACAGGCTTTGAGATAGGAATCTTCACTCAAGCTGATATGTACCTTTACTTATTACTATCTCTGGATAGGTTAATATATTTCTTCTGATTTTGTTTCCTCACCTAAAAAATTACGTCAAGTAATACCAACCCCTGAAGGTTGCATGATTGTTCTAAAGATCAAATAAGAAATCAGGCACACTTCAAAAAAATAGTAAAGAATCATGCTGCTTTTGGCATGGTCTCATCACTGTGTACTAGGAGCAGGTGTGGGAACATCAGTTACTTCAGGATCCATTTGCATCGAATTTTCCCCAGAAAATACCTAGTGAACAGCAAGTTTGAGGCCACTGTGCTGTCTCCTGATGGCAGATGGAGATATGGGCAGGAAAGCCTGTCATCTCCACAGAGAAAGGAATAGGTTCTGTATGAGAGCTCTGATGGGACACACAGTCATGACACTGGGGACCAATCTGGTAGCAGGACTTGGAGGTTCTGGCTAGAGTGGTCCAGATTCTGGCTGGACAATTGTCCTCTGATTTGTGCAGGAAGAAAAAGACATTTTTAGTTTTTTACTCTGACTCCGAACAGAGCAAGTGAACGTGGCAGTCTTCATGGGTGGGTTCAGGAGAGCCGGCTAGGCAAGCTCTCTAAAGACAACCCACAGTATGCTGGGCTTAAGCTATCAGTTACTCATGTCTCTCACACTCAGGGAATTGAGACCTGCTTACATCTTGAGTGGACTGTTTTGAATCTGGTTTTCAGATGACAACACAAAGAAGAAGACTCACGGAGAACCAGTGGGCCCTCCGGTAGCTCCAGATTTTCAGGGACTATGAAAAATGTAATCTGATGAAAAATGCTGAAGGAAGGGCCAGAAGATCAATGGGCCAGGAGCTTTCACATCCATTATAAAACAAATGGCTACTATTTTATTCATTAAACCATTGTGTATACTTAATTAAGCAATGGTCTCATATTTTAAAAATATTATTTGGAAGGGCCCTATTCTCATATTAATTTACCAATTTGCTAATTGAGAGCTGCTCTGTCTGAGTCTTAGGATCTGAGCCTCAAGGATCAACTCTGGTTTCCTGTGGCTGTTTAAGGACCAGAATGAAATTAGATCTGGTTTCCTCAAGGTTGACCTCAAAGGTTTATCCTTTCTCTAGCCTTAGATAAGGAGGTTCCTGCAACTACAAGCTGCCAGGGGGGCTGCATCCCCTCAGGAACCAGTTTTAAATTGGTCACTGCAAATACTATTTAATAGACTAGGTTTGCAGAGTGCATTGAAGTCTTATAGATCTGGGTGTCTTATGCTGGGAGCATGAGTTTTATTTAAGGCATGAGTGGTATCCCTGCGAGGGGGATAAGGATATAGCTTAGTAGCAGAGTACTTTCATAGCATGCACAAAGCCCTGGGTTTGATACCCAGCACTGCTACATAAATACAGGGCCCAATGCATCTTCTCTGTTCCTCAGGATATTTATGATCAATGCACTCTATAACAGTCGCTCTCCCGGCCCTTCTACTGCCTCCATTCTCAAACCTAAACGAATTGTTTGGCTTCTTCTATTGAGTTAAATAACCCTAAGTTATTGTGGGCTGATGAGGCCCGCAATCTCCCAAGCGAGTGGATGGCGAAGGCTTAAATAAATTAGACAGTTGAAACTATTTCAGGGCTCCAGGAGGGTCTCATTCTCTTACAGCTTTGATATTCTCTGAGTTCAGACAGATGTCTCTGGGCAGCCCATATTAGTTGGTCTACAAACAAGGAAGGGGGATACTGAACAAAATGCAGGAATCTGGGCAGGACTTGGGAATCCCTTTAAGGACTTCTCCAAGTAATACATTACGTTAATTTAGGAGAACTATGTTATCTCCAGGAAGGACTTCACTGCAGGAGGGAGATGCCTGCAGCTACAGTCTCCTTTAAGTTAACTGGGGTTGGAGCCAGACATCCTCAGCTGTGGCCTTATCTTGTCCTTTGAGGTGTCACAGTTTCACAGGCCAATACAGGCCTCAGTGGGTGACCAGTGACTCATAGAGGTTTACTTACTATGAGTCCACTGCCCATCTTAGACAAGGTGCTTAAGTTTTGGACAACACATAAGTAAACATGGAAAACCAATTGGTTAATATTAAATCTTGCTCAGAGCCACTTTGTAGTGGTTGCCAACATTTTTCTAAGAAGGAATGATCTCCTTGGCCTCTGTTTGGCTCTGCTGTGGGCCCTGAGATCTGAACAAATATGGCAATTGTGTGTCCTTTATTTTCTTTTTATCTTCTTACTCCTGCAGTATTTTAAGGGAGCTGCATAAAATGGATACAGTGATGCAAAGACTAAAGACCAAGGCGGATGCCTGGTCCCAGATTTGGCCCCAGGTCTAAGTTATGCCCTGCCTGCCACCCACCATTCTCTTAGCAAGCAGAATCTCCCCATTGCTTGCTGAGCAAAAAGTGCACCCTGCAGTGAATGTGCCCAGTGAGTACCTAGATAGCCTCCAATTTGGGGTGTTCACATGTGGTCTAGGTCAAGAGGGGTCATCTTTGCAGCCAGGCCCTGTAGGCACACTGTGATGTATCACGTTAGTACAGCTCTGGGAATCAGGGCCAAGCACAGGTCCCAAGGGTCTCAGGTAAGTTAGCTTCATTCCTTGATCACATGGTGTCACTCACTAGATACCAGGAAGAAAGTAAGTTTTTAATGAAACCTTCATTTTCTCCCACTCCATTTTCTCATTAGTTTCCTTCATGGGAAAAATATTTGAATTTTCATGCAACTCCATGAGTCAAGCTTCATGTGGACACACCAAGAAGCTTCTCTAGGCCCTGACAATATAACCTTTTTTTTCTAAATTGACTGTTTAGGCATAAGTGAACCATAGGTACTATTCCTGTTTCTCATTTTACCCTGAGGAACAAAGGATCAAAACACTTGCCCTAGGGTTGTGGCCCCCAAGAGAAAACAGGAATTTATTGAGCACATATTATGCTTATTGTTTTGGCCACCATATGTATTTTCTTGATTCTGTATCATTGGAACAGTGATCTCCTTAGCAGGTGGTGTTGTTACAGTTTTTTTTTTAGCTGAGAACACTAAGGCCCGTTGATAAGCAAAGTTGAGGTGCTTATCAAAGACAATCCAGCTTGGAGTAATATTTGCTTTGAGTCTACCTGGCTTGGAAGTGCAGGCCCAGTCCACTGTCCTCTACAGTGTGAGCAGTCAGGTGGGAAGTAGGGAGGGGATTCACCCCCCTCAGCACATCGTTTTCTAGCTTTGGGAGCCAGTGCTTTCTCCCCTCCTCCACTCTTTCTGTCCCTGTGCCCAAATGGCTCATTGCACTTCTCATCTTTGACCTATTCTTGACATATTCCAAGAATTCAATGGGAGTTTTATGTTTATTCTTGAACTCAGCTACCCGGGGACACATTGTTCAACTCATCTCTGCCATGAAAGATGGCAGAAGGTCAAGCACCCTTTTGCTTTACTTGTAGTACCTGTATCACTGGCATTGATGTGTGTCATCTGGAGTGATGGTCCCAGAAAACACTGGGATTACTTCTTGTCATTCTGTCTTTCTTGAGGGATACAGAAGGATTTCTCTTGCCCATTTGATGTCATCCTAGTAGAGGAACAATTGTTTATCACTGCTCCTTCTTTGCCTTTTTTAGCCCAGATTTCTAGGATGGTCAACCAATAGTGCAGCTAGGATGACAGCTATTTTGTAGACTAAAATCTAGTCTTTGTTGCTTTCTATGTTCAGTATGGGGAATACTCTCTGAGTTGAATGGCCAGGGGAGACAAGAGCATGAAAATGTTGATTACGGCTGCTAATTGACTTGAGAACCTCCCATGACTTTGGTTGAATATAAATTAATTTTCTAGACTAGTGATAAAAGTTTCAAAAGAGAGTGGGCATCACATTTTGACTGAGTTTTCACTTTTAATCAGGTATTGTGTAAAGGCTTAGCATAGTTTGCCTTACTGTTTAGTTCATAGCAATTCTAATTAGCGCCTGACATTTGGTAAATTAGAGGAGGAGAGACCTCCTGGACACTGATGTCCATTTATAGTTTCCTGAAGGAACTTGGCTTGGTTGGAAGAAGGACCTTGTCTTTACCTGCTCAGGTAAGAGCTGTTTATTTTGTAACACTTGATAATAATCCTTTAAAAGGAGAAGACTCTTTTCTTTGAATTTGGGACCTCCCATTCTGTGGGACATTCTCATAACTATGTTCTCATAGCATCTCTGAGCTGTGAGATACTGAATACTTTCTGATTCTACCATTCCTAGCACAAGAGTGCACCATGCTACCATTCTTTGGACAGGAGCCAGATAGTGACAGTTATGTTTAAGAATTATTTTTGCAGTGTTGTGAGTCATAGGTGGGATCTAAAT